TGGAAAGCCACTATAGTGGTCCGTAGTACCTCAGTGGCATCTTATGAAAGGCCACTATAGTGGCCCGTAGTACCTCAGTGACATCTTCTGGAGGGCCACTATAGTGGCCCATAGTACCTCAGTGGCATCTTATGAAAGGCCACTATAGTGGCCCGTAGTACCTCAGTGGCACCAAATGGAAAGCCACTATAGTGGTCCGTAGTACCTCAGTGGCACCAAATGGAAAGCCACTATAGTGGTCCGTAGTACCTCAGTGGCATCATATGGAAAGCCACTATAGTGGTCCGTAGTAGCGAAAGGGTTAAACAACTCTGTAACCCACACATGGGTGACGCGGCAGTCGAAGTATTATCAAAAAAAAAGGAAAACATTTTTCACCCGATCCTTCTCCAAATTAATTCGAATCGTTCTTACTTCGCCTAATGAACCGCAGTGTGGCGATCGATTACGCGAGATCGAGAAGAAATTAAATCGGAGAAAAATTCGAAAAAGAAAGGAGAAAAAAGGCGAAGAGCGTGTCGTCGTCGATGACAAAACTTTGCCGCGGATTCCAGCGGCGGCCGGGCGGATAGGTTGAAACTGTTTTTTTCCTAGGAAATTTCACTTGAGGGGTCGGTAAGGCATAGGGGGAGCCGAGATAGAACGGCGGGTGGAGAGATCGAGTATTGGATTACGATCGAATGATTGCGCTTTTAATTAAAAGGGAGGGCGACACCGGCCTTCGCCCCGGCCCTCGCTCTGCCCCCGGGCGAGCCCGTCTTCGCGGGGTGGAGAGGGTGGGGGATTAACTTACTAAATCCGAGTTATAGTCTTATTGTCAGCCGGTTTCATAAAGCGAGCGCGCGTGTCGGTTGCCGGCGTTAGTTTGCCAATGAAATCAGTTCGCCGTTGCCATGAAATATTCACGGTGTTTGCTCGTCGCTCGCCGCGGTACGTATACATATATATACACATATATATATATGTATATATATATATATATACATATATATGCTAGTCATTCAACCGCGACGGGTGGGCGAGAACGAGAACGAGAACGGGAACGACAGGTAACGCGGCGAACCTAATTTCGGGCCGCGACGTTAAGTCTCCGGTAAGCGTAACTCGAATTAATGCCGGCCGAGTATTATTGTCTTAATACCCTTATTTATATTCATCTCTCGGGGCGAGTGGAAGGGGGGCAGGAAGGCAGCGTAGGGGAACACAGTCGCGAGATTAGACGACGCAACCCTTTCCTTCGCCGACGCTATGAAAAGCGTATGAGTACCTCGGGGTCGCTGAATGCGCGATTACGCGGGGACACTGAGTTCGCGGTTCAACCGGCTGTTATTCCACCGGAAACGAAAACAGGCGAACTGATGATCACGTTTATTGACGTTGAACCCTCGCGCTACCACCGCGGGACAGACTCGCGGCGATTTCGTGCGTGATCTACGAAATAGTTAATTAATTATAATTTACAGCGTGGAGATTCCCGCGCATGGGAATCATCTTCGAATCGGCGGGGAAATTTTGCCCTAATTCGCGGCCGGATTTCAAAGAAAAATGGATAGTTTGAGGGGAGGAGGAGGCGCGATTGTTCGAGCTTATGGTCGCTGATTCTTAAGTTACGAGAAAATCGTATCTCCTTCTGTCAAATTGTACTTTTTTGGTTTTGAAGCTAAGGGACATTTGAAGAGAATTTACTGTATCGCGATTAGAACGCGGATTTTTATGCGAGAGAAAAATTGTTTTCATTAATTACGAGATGCAGAGACTACTGAGAATCGGCGGGGCAATTTTGCCCTAATTCGCGGCCGAATTGCAAAGAAAAATGGATAGTTTGGGGGAAAGAGGCGCGATTGTTCGAGTCTCGCGGCTCGTTTTTATGGTCGCTGATTCTTAAGTTACGAGAAAATCGTATCTCCTTCTCTCAAATTGTACTTTTTCGGTTTAGAAGCTAAGGGACATTTGGGGAGAATTTATTGTATCGCGATTAGAACGCGGATTTTTATGCGAGAGAAAAATTGTTTGCATTAATTACGAGATGCAGAGACTACCTAGATATTTATTTCTTCTTTAAAATGTTTTTCTGAATTATTATTTTCAAGGTAATCGTGTGAAATACAAAAATAAAGCAAGAAAATCTTTCACTTATCGTTTTCTATAAAATTCCACTGCATAATGATTTTTATTTCGAGTCGACTTCGCATAGCTGAGTCAGAAATTTGGAAAAATTTCCACCGAGTTGCTATATAGGTTTTTATATTAGGAAGGGTTCATTCTTAAGGGTTAATCTAAAGTTAATTAATTAGTTCGCAGTGATACAATAATATTTTCGAATCGTGCGAACGCGTTTGCTATTTTGCATTCGATCCACCAAGTTTCGTCACGTGAATGCATAAAATCGGCGATCTATTAACAACGAAACAGCGATCGCGAAGCAACAATTTCATGGATCGATTAGAACGATGAACGTGAAACAAATGGAATAATGATCAGTGTACGGTAAAGTGTCGCTAGTCGATAAGTTGCGACTAAGCGTACAAATATTCGAAAATGCTTCGAAATGCTTCGAAATTCGGGCGGCCCGACTTTTTCCCGCAAAATCCGCAGCGGCGAAACAATACCTTTATTTCTGTGCTCCGCGTAACATTAACAACGCCGACACCCCCGACGGTTATTCATTCTCGCGTGCCGGCAATATTAATAACAATACCGCGTGTATCGGCGTCATTGTTTCTTTCTCGTTTTACCGCGAACAACGTACGCCGCCCGCAAGAATAAATTGCAACGGCGGACACGGGATCCGGGATTTCCGAAATATTTTCTACGTAATACGAACGCGTTAGATATCGGGGGACACACGGCGATACTCGAAAACGGTCTCTCTTTGAGCCAGTAATAAAGCGTTTACTGTCACGCCCGGCACCCCCGTTTCGCGAAATATAACCTGCCCGCTTTCTACATGGAACGGCGCGCCGGCTCCCTGTCGTTTCCCTGATCATCGTTCACGAATCAGCGGACGGGGTTCCCGGGGCTCGCTTTGTATACGTATGGCACGCGTTTGAATTTTAAGCAGCACTCTTAGCCCACTCACTCTACTTTCCCGCTCGTTGATTATGCTCGAGTGGTTGCCGCGCCGCGCCGCGCCGTGCCGCCTCCACGTCGGGAAAATCGCGATGACATTTTCGCGAGAGTACGAACTCGTTCTTCCCTCCCCACCAGCCGCGAACTCTTTCCTGTTCCGTGAATTTTTTCCCCGCGGGATACGCGGCAGTTTCGATCGTTTCGGTGCCGGTTACTGTGAGCTAGCCAATTACTGTGGTCTTTTGTCTAGGTTAAAGCATGATCGACTTTGTATTTGTCGCGTGGGATATGTCAATTTTTTTATTCTAATTCTGTCGAGTATTTGTTTGTTAAAATTGGACACGTTGAAAATGGAAGTTCTTAAGATACGATGAGAATTGTTCCAATTTTTTTGGTACCGATTGAGCGAAACTTAGCCAATTACTGTGTCTTTCGTTCAGACTCAAGCATAATCAACTTTATATTTGTCGCATAAGGCATGTCAAATTCTTTTATTTAAACTCAGCCGACTAATCGTTTTAATTTGTTAAAATTAGATTTGTAAAAAACGGAAGTTCTTAAAATACGACGAGAATTGTTCCAATTTTTTTGGTACCGAATGAGCGAAACTTAGCCAATTACCGTGTCTTTCGTCTAGTCTCAAGCATAATCAACTTTATATTTGTCGCATAAGGCATGTCAAATTCTTTTATTTAAACTCAGCCGACTAATCGTTTTAATTTGTTAAAATTAGATTTGTAAAAAACGGAAGTTCTTAAAATACGACGAGAATTGTTCCAATTTTTTTGGTACCGAATGAGCGAAACTTAGCCAATTACCGTGTCTTTCGTCTAGTTTCAAGCATAATCAACTTTATATTTGTCGCATAAGGCATGTCAAATTCTTTTATTTAAACTCCGCCGACTGTTCGTTTGTTAAAATTAGCCGTGTAAAAAACGGAAGTTCTTAAGACCCAACGAGAATTGCTCCAATTTTCTGGTACCGAATGAGCGAAATTTTCTGCGAACCTTAAAAAGATTTAATTTCTTTCATTTTTTAATTTCGTTGATATACATTTGAAAGTCTGCCCTCTGTGAAATCCTAAAAACGGTCGTTGTTAGTTCTGCAAATATTAAATGGTTCTTCGAAACGCGAATTTCTTCGAAATATACGAGGAACAATAATTTCGTCGAAGATAAACAAGAAAATTTATGTTTCCGGACTCGCGAGCACTTGTGTTATCGATGTACGACGCATAATCCAGGGTCGAAGGTTAAACGATCGTGATAATCGACGAGCCCGCTCGCGAAATTACCGGCTGCGAGTTTTCGCGCGAAGCTTTTAAGCCCTGACTAACGAAAACGAGTTCTCTGCTTTTATAAACGTTCTTTCACGGCGAAGAAAAATATTGAATTTTTCTGCGAGTTTATTAAAATTTTCATTCTGCCGCATTTTCAATGCGCCGGTTCCAACGGATTTGTTTGACAGATTTTTAATTCTGTTGTTTCGGATTACAAACGACGCCGGCGGAAGCGTTTAAAGGGAAAATCGAAACAAAATTTCACTCTTCTTTCGTAGTTCTCAACCGTTCATCTCGTCCGACTCTGATCTCCGAGTAGCACTTCTCTACATGAAATTCGACGATTCAATTTTTTCGACTGCACTGCGTGCACGCGGAGTTGCAATAAAGTGCAATAATTCGAGCAGGTCGGTGTGCTTGAAAATAAATCGCTATTTTCGATTGGAAAGAATCGCGAATTCTCGTCGCAGACTCATTCGCTGTCGCGTGATTTTATCGCAATTAAATCGTCACTATTAAAATAGTGAACATGGTCGATCAGATTGGCTTTTTACGAAGATCACAAACGACAGATCATGAACGTTAATAGACGTTTGTCTAAGAAAATTCGCGGGAACATAGCGCAAATGTTGGCTTCCAAGTGCAAACTCACCAGCGAATCACCGCACTCGGACATGCACGGTCGAATCTTAAAGGGAATCCTTAATGTCGCTGGCGCTGCGAATCCTGCAATCACAAAAAAAACGAGATAGGATTTATAAAAAACTCGAGCACAAGGCAACGTAGCATTAGACAGCGAATTTTTGTGCAAAATGTGTGTCATAGTCGCGAGCAACGTAAGTCAGACAAAATAGCCAAAATATCGCTAGCCAAAATATCTTCCAGCAACCTAAAAAATCTGATAAAATCAAACTATTTGAGTCGAATCGAAATCGAAAAGTTCAGCTCTGCGAGATCAATAATGCTTCCGACGGTTTGCGGGTCTCGATAAAATCAGGCAAACGTGACAGATCAGCCCAAAAATTGCCTCTCGAATCGGAAAAAATAATTCTATCATTCTATCAATAATCCTAAAATAATTCTATCACAGTGAAAGTGTCAATAATTTAAATAAGTCGCGCATAAGAACAATACCCTCAAATTTGTCGGCTTTTACAGCTTCGTTCCCGCCATTTTGTTGCATTCCCCTCCGCGTTTATTGTTTCTTTTACGATCGAAAATAGACCGAAGGTTATTCGCTCGATTCGTAAAAAACTGAACGGGAGCACCGTGATTTTTCGATTTTCCGAAAAGTCATGCGCCCGGTTTTTACCGCCACGGGCCGGGAAATGTTAATAAAAGTGCGACTAAATTCGCGCTTGTTATTGCACGCGGGGCGAGAACATCCTATTAGTGTCATAGCTTTCCGGCGCGGCGCGGCGCGGCGGAAGCTGCTTAAACTTAATAGCTCGGAGTGAGCTTAATGTAAGGTGTTTTTATATTTCTCGGTGCGGTATTTCGTGGAAATGAGTTTCGTCCTTCCGGACAAGAGAAAATCAAACGAGAGCGGGACGAAAGAAGCAGCGAGAGATGCCTGCAGGATTTTTAACGGCGACGTTCCGCTACTAAATTCTACTGAAACTTGTTTGCCACTGAATCCGGCGATTATTCTTCGTTTCGTCTGCAACGCAGAGATCGTCCGCACATTTTTCGATCCACGGAAAGAAAACAGTCTGTTCGGCGTTCGAATGGCGAACTAACATCGCCGTGATACTTCAGAAAGGAATACAGTAATGGCTCTCTTACTGACAGAAAGGAATACAGTAATGCCTCTCCTCTTTCGGAAGAGAAGACTCGATTATTCGAGCCTTGCGGTTCATTTTTATAATTGTGAAGAATTTATAATTATAAAAATAAACTGCAAGGCTCGAATAATGGTATCTACTCATCCCAAATTGTCCATTTTTTGTGGTCAATCTGGGCGTCAATTAGGGAGAATTTACTGTACAAGGTACACGTGGTATTTGAATTGCCTTCGAATCGTGTCACGTGGCCTCTGAATTGCCTTCGAATCGTGGAAGCCTTCGGTTTGCCTTCGAATTGCCTTCGAATCGTGTTTCGTGGCCACCGAATTCCCTTCGAATCGTGGCACGTTGCCCCTGAATTGCTTTCGAATCGTGGCACGTGGCCCCTGAATTGCCTTTGAATTGTGGAAGCCTCCGAATTGCCTTCGAATTGCCTTCGAATCGTGTTTCGTAGCCACCGAATTCCCTTCGAATCGTGGCACGTGGCCCCTGAATTGCCTCCGAATCGTGTCACGTGGCCCCTGAATTGCCTTCGAATCGTGTCAATTACTGACGCTCAGATTGTCCACAAAAATGAACAGTTTGGGAAGAGTAGATACAATTATTCGAGCCTCGTAGCTCGTTTATTATAGTCATTGACAATCCGTTAACTATAAAAACCAGCCAGGCTCGAACAATCGTATCTCCTCTTCCCAAATTGTCCATCTTTTCGTGGACAATTTGAGCGTCAATTAGAGAAACATTACTGTACTTCGAATCGAACGATCTTGTTTCGATCGTACGAATGGGCAGAGTTCGTGGCAAGATTCGGCAAGAAATTTTGAACGACCAGCTTTGACGAGGACTCGTTGGAAAGCTAAAACGATACCTCGGACATTAAAGACGCATGAGTGGCTCCGTTTACGTATCTCGTTCACCGGTACAGCGTGCATGCACATACGCGGAATCCGGTTACATGCTGCCTGGCGTAATTGATGTGTGAACATTTTACACTCAAGTATCCCGACGTGCTTGGAAGTACACTTCTGAACAGTGTATGTACTCATTACCGAACTCCCAAAGTTACTGCAAATATACATTTCCAAAGGCTAATACGTATCAATCTAAGTTAAACGGAAACGTATTCCCGCGCTGGGCTCAAGATCAAATAGAAACTTGGTCGAGAACTCGACGAAAAAAAGCTATCGACGCTAATTATCAGCAATTTATTTCTGGCCTAGTTATTATTAATCGTGAACTCAGTCGAACGAAGGGGACATATTTTTTTTCTATTATATTCTTATATTCTTATATTCTCATATTCTTTTTTATATTCTTATATTCTCATATTCTCATAGTCTCATATTCTGATATTCTCATATTCTCATATTCCCATATTCTCAAATTCTCATATTCTCATATTCTCATATTTTTATATTCTTATATTCTTATATTCTCATATTCTCATATTCTTATATTCTTATATTCTTGTTTTGTTGTATTCTTGTATTCTTGATTTATTGTATTATTGTATGATTGTATGATTGTATCATTGTATTATTATATTATTATATTAATATATTACTTATACATTATTCGAGCCTTCCGATTAGTTACCCATTATCGACGCCTATAAAAATAAAATAAAATCGTATCTCCTCTTCCGAAATAGTCCATTTTCGTGCCCAATCAGAGCGTCAATTAAAGAAACCTCTCTGTAAACAGCCGTGTTTTTAATCGCACCATTAATCCCGAAGCAACCGTTCGATCCACTATCGGTCGTAGCCCGTCATTGTAGTAAACTGATCAGGCCAATGGGGACCGAGTTCCGACTGAATTCGCAGATTTTCTTTCGGCAAAAGCCGCCGATTGTCCGTGTGTGTCGGCCTTGCTCGACAACCGGCTGTGAAGCCTTTGCGGGCTAAAGCTCTATTCGCGGTCCTATTCGCAGCGTCATGAGCAAAAGCCATAGAAGAGAGCGCCGGGGCAAGTTAGTCTAGTGTGAAGCGGGGTTTGTCAAGCGGTTCTGATCCACAGAATGCATCCACGGATGATTCAACTACAAGTTTCTTGCTCCTCGAACCGTGGCCTCGCCGCTCTTGGCCGCGCGCCCCGCGCTCCCCCGCGCCACGGTAACCGCGTCGATCGCGTTCAATCCGCACTTTGTGCCGATTTCGCCGCTCCTGCGGATCGCAACCGCTTCCGTCGACGATATACCCGGTGTGCCCCGCGATCGTCTGTCGACGGTAACAAAGAAAACCTCTGCGAAAAAATAAATCGGAACTCAACGTTCGGTTCACCCCGTTGCTTTGTCGCCGAGGGAAATTTCGAAATTCTGCGTAATGTTTTACAGTTCAATTTTCAAGTGGAAATGGTTCGCCGTGGTCAGACGACTCCCATTTTACCCTTCATTTATTTATTGAAGAATAAATACAATTTTTTCGTTTCGAGAAAAAAGTTTTAGACTTGTGCCAAGAATTTTATAATAGAATTTGCAAGTGGAAATGGTCGACCATGGTCGGACAAGGCTGAACATGCAATATCAAAATGACCTATTCCAAATATCCTGTTTTACACAATTGTTGGAACTACTAGAAATAGTGAAATTATTATGCTAGAATTTGCATATGAAAGAGTGTCTAGCTCTCATTTTATACTAAATTTACTATGAAGAATAAATAGAATTTTTCATGCAGAATAGTCTTCCAAAAAAATTTTTAGATTTATTCTGAGAATTGTATACTAGAATTTCCAAGTGGAAATGGTCGACCATGATCAGACAAGGCTGAAAATACAGCATCAAAATGACCAATTCCAAATATCCTGTTCTACACAATTGTTGCAATTATAAATGCTCTCAAATCGGAAATTATTGAATAAATTTCTCACGTCAAGTATATATGTGATGTACAAAATGTGATGTACAAAATGTGATGTAGAGTCTGAATAAATTCAATTTTGTCGTTTTTATTGAGCAGCACTCCTGTTGTAAATATTTCTGTTCTAATTCCCTTTGAACATCAAATCGCGAGCACTAATTATATCTTATCAAAACACGTATCTGATCGAGTTAAAAAATATACAGTAATGTCTCTCTAATTGACCCATAGCTTGCAAAGGAAAATGGACAACTTGGGAAAAAGAGATACGATTATTCGAGAGTTTTGCATCTCGTTTTTATAATTGTCGACAATCTGCCGCTATAAAAGCGAGCCGCAAGACTCGATCAACCGTATCTCCTCTTCCCAAATTGTCCACTTTTTATGTACAATCTGAGCGTTAATTAGGGAGACATTACTGTACTTCGAATCGAACGATCTTGTTTCGATCGTACGAAGGGGCAGAGTTCGTGGCAAGATTCGGCAAAAAATTTTGAACGACCAGCTTTGGATTTTGGACTTTGAGGACTCGTTGGAAAGCTAAATCTCGGACATTAAAGACGCACTGAGTGACTCATTTTCCATAAAATTTCTCCAGCGATTCGACACGCCTTTGACGTCACAAATTGCGAAACCGATCCTCGCGACCGGCGCGTTAACGTCCCAAGAATTTCGCGAGCTCATTCGCCTGGGAAACAACGTTCGGCGACGGCGCGATTTAATTTCAAAGAATCAATCTTCCCCGTCCGGGTCTATGATCATGGCGCGGCGCAGCGTTCGATCCGCGCGACCATACTTTTCCGAACAGCCTCAAACATTAAACGATTCAATTAAACGGCGTTCGGATGTAAATTCCACGGCGGCCGGCCGCTCGCCGTTTATAGAGACCGGAAATACTTGCGCGCCAGTAAATTTCGGCCGTATTTCTATTCTCGTATCGCGGCAGAGTTATTAAGGACCGTACACCGGGTTGCATTTAGCCGACACCCCATAAAACTGTAAACACGTTGTCGACATTGGTTTTATCGCGTGCTCATCGCGGCCCGGCCCGGCCCGGCCCGGCCCCCCGGTCGGATTCATACGC